CTTATTTCTAGGTATGGTTTATCTATCGATGGCGGCGGTCATTGTAACCGTCAGCTGGTTTTCAGTCTGTCGCAGACGAACAACCGAGCAGTGCTGACTGCCCACTGTCCCTTCTTGTTACCTTAATATAGACCGCGCAAACTTTCCACGATAAAAGCCTGTGAAGCGTCAGGCAATAGGCCGCGGCTCAATAACCTCCATTTTCAGTCTCAAATTTCTGAACACGTTTGTACGGCATTGCATGTTCCTAGCTCACAGTAAACCATCCGAGGTGGCTTGACAAAACAGTCCTGTTTCATCAGCATTGTGGGCGCCGCCTGCGCCAACATTTTGTGACATTTCGGAAATATTTATTGCCTTCCTGTGCCTAAGACTTACAATGCCAGCTGTGCACTCCTCTGTTCTTGTCCTTTTATTGTGTCTGAGTATATGTCAGCTGCTTTGAAGTTCAATTGCTCCGTTATTTGGACTGAATTCTTTAATTCGGTTTATGGTATCGATTCAGTGCTACATACGTCTTTTACAGTCAGAGTGGAGAACCATTGACTGAGGGCTTATTTGAGGTGAATTAATATACCGGTTGTCGTTCTTTATCGAAAATTTTCCACCGGAGGAGGAAAAGCAGAACGGAAAGGACAAGAATACCGTATACTTTTAAGATCTTTAAGTTTGAATTCGAAAGCTAATGCACCTCCGAAATAGATTGACAGTGAAATTTATCCTTTATTGTTTCGGGCCTGTAGTTTTTTGGATGATAGCCGTTGGTGACCTTGAGTGACATGAGTAACCTTATACAACAATCTGGCTCATACTTGAAGTCACAAATTTAGATCCCGTTATTCTCTGTTCCAAAGGACGATTCGCGACGTCAATGCGCGGCGAACAAATTAAATATAGATGTTCGCTCCTAATGCTCTCAATTTTGCCGTTCTTCGTGAGTAGCAGTCCTTCAAGGTCATTGAAATCAAAGTTCCCACGACTGTGTTAATTTGCTGTAGCAAATCCGGCGCTTCGCCCCCTTAAATGTACTTTAAAGACAGTAAATGGCCGTCTCCTGCGTTCATCAGTAAGCTGTTATTGTTTTCTCTTCCTAGCCTCGAGAAACGACTGTGGCGGCTGAAGCAAAGTAGGCTCACGCCATTCATGAACCTTTGCATTTCGCATGCAGTTCACCAGATAAAACAAGTGTACTGAGATCAAAAATAATTATTGGTCATTCGAACTTTCTTAAAACAGTAATAATTTCACCTTTGTTTCGAAAATTATCATAAAATATGAGTAAAGGGGAAACCTTTCTCGCATCGTATCCTCAGAATTTATTTCTGAACTTCCAACGTTTTAATCATATCTACAAAATAAGTTGACCTAGAACCATTGTGCAGTTGGAATACTAAACCGAAGGAGATTTCCCCAATAATAAAAAGAACTTATCCGCTTGGGAACAAGCTGATTACCAACAAAACAGTTTTAGACTTAAGAATAGAACCATCAAATAGCAGGAGTTTTAAAATTTGAGACTCTTTAAAATAGCAGAAAGGGTACATATTCCTTTTTTAAAAGTCAAAATATGCAGAAATGAAAAAAAATGTGACAAGATATTAGAGACACTATAAAAGAAAATAAACATACAGGAGAATAATCTGCAAATTTCTACACACGAAATGGCTCCATTCGTTAGAAACGCGTGGACAATATGGGCAAGTAACACATACAGTAGGAAGGACTGCATACATTCCCTATATAATAAGCAAACACTGCTTCCGTTTAGGCTATGCATTATTACATCGAAACATTTTAATTAATTTATGCGATGACTTGTATTTTTTAATCCTTTCGTCGAAGCAAGTAGAAGTTAGATCGTTCTATATGGTCTACGTGTCTTTTAGGACAGCACCCAACCTCGGTCCCATTGCAGCCTATTTTTAAGAGCTTCGAATA